AGCAATTGTCCCAAATAAGAATAGTCTGTGTAGTTTTCCTTTAGTGGCATGCAACTGTCACTAATGCATGGTGTGCACATCATGGTATGCCCCACTACCTACACATAATCTTACTCAAAAATCTAAATGCAATTAGGCCATCTCAAATTTGCTTTAAGATGAAACAATCTTCATGTCTTATCTACACAGAGAAACACCAAATAAACACAAAATTGTGAGGAAACTATATGCAGACCTTATATATCAACATTATCTTAAGCCATTTGTCAGTTCAACAACAACGTTAATATATGCACATAGGAGGAAAAAGTCCATTGCTTGAGGATGTTAAATAATGACACTGTGACATGTTACTAGTCACCACGGATATCACAGTACATTTGAAATACTCACATCTCAACCCAATTGCTTATTTTCCTTCGGAACATGGGCAATACAGGGAGATTAGGAAACAGGAAAGCAGACTCTGCTACAGAATATCCTGTAATATTCGACATTATATAGGATGTGTTGATATCCTCGACAACTTACGTTACTTCTATTACATCATCATTTATTGCACAAACAAAACCATAATTGGGAAAACTATTTGTCCACTGAACAAATGGAGTTCCAAGATAAAACCATGAATCACAGTATACCGATCCCAATCTCTTTTATACTAACAAGGACAGGCAACTCCTGGATGACCTGCTATCCACTGAACATGGTGTGCTAGATAATTTCTCCTAAATTAATATGGCACTTGACATGAGAAAAGTTAGGTGAAATTGACGAGCAATTCTATCAACTTGGGTTGCATTAAGAAGGATATTTGCATAACTAAGGAGTAGTATCAATTATTTATATGCTACCATGAGTACCCGGATACTATAGGTAACTGGTTAAGACTGCATGAATGAAATTATATGAAGAATGGGAATTTACAAAATTAGGCATTGTCAATATGCCCTGTTAAATAACTGAAATGCTTAGAAAAAGCCATAATTTTCACATGGGAATTTATACAAACACATTGCATGCCATCCATCTGGAAAAAAAAAATTCAAGATACTCACAAGCAGCTTGAGCTTCAGCGCTGCAACGAGCTCAGGATCAGGGCCCTGAGTACTTGCCAGTGGATCGAAAGATGGGGATTCCTCGAGCGTCGATGCTCTGCCAATTAGACCCTTATTCCTCTTATGGGTCAGCTGATTCCTCCCAAATTCTGATCGAAATTGGTTCAATTTGATAAATTGGCGGTTATGGTGATGATGAGAGCGACAGTGCAGAGACGAAGGAGGTAGAGCCATTGGATTTGGAATTGGGCTTTAGAATCTGGAAAAACTACAGTTTGGGCAACGATTTTGTGATGCAAATTAAAAGGGAGGAGGTTTATTGAGCAGAGAGCGTATCAGCCATGTATTTTGTCAGCGCTCGTGGGGCTTCGACAATCATCGAGAGAAAAGCAAGGAAAATTATAGACCGGGAATTTTTGTGGAGGTGCGTTTTAGTATTTGGGTAAACTTCATCAACCCCCAAATACTTTGGAATATTTCGTAGGAGACCCCTCAAATCTTTGTTTTAACCGCTAAAAGCTGTTACCGCGTGAGCCCCAACGTGGTGAAACCGCACCTCCTCAAGCTATATTGGGGGGACAAATTTTCAAAACCGACCCCTTGGGGTTTTTATTTGCAAAAAACGACCGGTTTTGAAAATATTTACAAAAACCGACCCCAGGGGCTGAAAACAGGTCGGTTTTTGAAATTTTTTTTCCCAAACTTCACGGGAGTTGAACTCCCGTGAAGTTTTTCTCATAACAAAACTTCACGGGAGTTCAACTCCCGTGAAGTTTGGGATCCTTTTTTAATTAATTCTTCTGCAAAACAAACCCCCACAGTGTGCAGTTCACAATTTTATTGTGGCTAAGGGGGTGATGGAGAAAAAAGGCCTTATTTATAATTTCATTTCAATTTGATATATTTGTCCAGATTTTGTTAGATTTTATGCTAAAATTGTATTGCATCTAGGCCCATTTTTAATTAATTCTTCTGCAAAACAAACCCCCACAGTGTGCAGTTCACAATTTTATTGTGGCTAAGGGGGGTGATGGAGAAAAAAGGCCTTATTTATAATTTCATTTCAATTTGATATATTTGTCCAGATTTTGTTAGATTTTATGCTAAAATTGTATTGCATCTAGGCCCATTTTACCTAGTTGCCACTTGCTAAGCCCAAACTACCAAATGTTCCCAAAAGAAGTGAACGAGGTTTTCGTGTGCTGCACGAGCACGTGATTTAAATTTAAAAGAGAACTCTAACCAAATATGAACAGGAGTATCAAAGTAATATAAGATTTGAAGCCTTTAGTGTCAAGGGGTATCAAAGTGAAAAAAAGGGTAAACATGGATCGCCAAAGGGTAATAAATCTTAAACAAAAAAAAATCCCACTTTCAGCATGCTATGTTCCCACTTTCAGCATGCTATGTTCATAGGTCATGCACGCATTACATGCACCATAAAAAACTCATGTTCATGTGTCACGCATGTAATGCATGCACCAAAAAACCTGCTTTAGGTTAACTTTAGTAAAATGGGACCTCTCGTGAATAAATTGGTAGCTGCTCTCATTCCTCTGTTTGTTTGAATTACATTTGCTTCATCAAATAATGCAGCCACACAGAACCACAAAACAACCAAAAGAACCTGAAATCTCTAATCTGTATGTAAGCAAATACTCCCGTAATAATTATTATTATAAATAAATAAATAAATAAAATATGGATATTGAGAGAGTGGGATAAAGAAGTTAATCTCCTTTCCCAACTCCACATTACAAATTGGTTACAAGCGTCAATTTCATACAACAGTGGAGAAAACAACTGCAAACCACGAAAACAAACCCACTAAACAAATGATACACAAAAACTAACAAACCAAATTTGAATTTTTTGCCATCATCAATGCTACAAACTACAAATCATCAGGAATTAATTACTGCGTAACTTTACTCCTTGACACCATCCACGAGTTGTAGGCATTCAGTATTTCTTGTTGCCTACTTTGTATTCTTACCTCATTTTGCTCGTTCTTGACCTTGTTGGCCTTCTTTCTTGTTTTCCTTTCATTGGCATCAATCCAAGTGTAGTCTTGTGGTATAGAGAAAGGATCGGTCTCATCTTTTGAGCTGCTGATAAATTGGCCTCTTGCCCATGAATACCATGAACCGGATGGTTTGGTGTCTTTTGCTTTACTGTCCACTGAGAACTCTTCGAATTTTGTGAAGGTGATGACGATTCGAACAATAGGCGTATGCAAGGGAATGGCTACCTGTGAAGAATGGATAATGAAAAAAGCTTCAGTGTTTTGAATCTTATGATGTTATTTCTTAGAAAGCAAATAAAAGCTTAATTAAGGATAGACGCCCTGTAGTTCTATTTTTGCAGATAGACCCCCTGGAGTGAATATTTTTTACTCTTGTATCCCCAGAGAAAGATAAAATTGTTTTCTTGACAAATAGATGGCGTGAGGATAAAGAGTGAAAAAATCACTCAGGGGTCCATCTGCAACAATAAAACTCTAGGGTCTATCCTCAATTAACCTAAAAAAAGGCGTTCTGTAATTTTTGTTCTGGCTAATTATTGTGCAATTTCCACTTTATGCATGCTAATGTGTGTAGTCCAATAAACAATAACAAATACTGTAAACTTGGAAAATGATATAAGATCTTGGATGTATTACATAAGAACAATGAGCTATTAAAAACCGTTTCTGCGGTAGATACATTGTCAATAATCAAAAGGAGAATCCAACTTATTTAGAGTTCATTCTGCTTCTCTAGTCTTTCCTTCTCTAGTATATACTACTGTAATCAGAACTACTACAATTGTCTTCATCTCGCACCTGCTCTATTCAAACTCTTGACTCCCTTTTATTCCCATCAAAATACTCCCACAGACAGTTAATTCTCGCCAGAGATTTCTTCAAGCAAATGTTTAAGTCGTTCTTGAACAAGTGCTTTACTAGAGAGGACATCTATAAGTGAGAGCTAACAGTATGAAGCAGGCAAAGGGTTAAATGATCATAAAATCTAGGGGGTTTTTCATATGAAACCAGCATAAAATATAGCAGTTTTCCAGGGAACTAACACGAAATTTTTAGTTTTCATAAAACCACCATGATAATATGCACAGTTACCAAAATGCCACCAACCCATAATTCTCACCATATTCAGTTAAATATTATGATTTTTTATCGGACACCACCACAAAATACAGTGGTTTTCCGGGGAACCACCACGAAGTTTTTACTTTCCGTAAAACCACCATGATAATATGCATTGTTAACAAACAGTCATCAAGTCACAGGTTCCATCCATGTTCTGTTAAAATATTATGTTAAATCCCTCAATTACCCTAATTGTGGGATTCACCTATGTTTTATTATTATCTCCCAATAAAACATCTTCCCTCCAATTATTAGTCAACTTCCTAAAAAAAAATTAATTCCAACCAAATGCTCACCTATTCACCCGATGCGAAGCTTATGTTTTCTGAACATGGTGGGATTTTATGTCATTTATATTTTTACTAACAGAATATATGGATGGTAATTACGAATTAGTGTCGCTTTGTTATCATTTCATTTTATGAAAACCACCATATTTTATGGTAGCTTACTGAAAACCACCATATTTTATGGTGGCTCTCTAAACCACCATATTTTATGGTGGCTCTCTAAACCACCATATTTTATGGTGGTTTCATATGAAAAATCCTCGTTTTATTTAACAGAATATGGATGGAAATTATGAGGTTGTGGCACATTAGTAACAGTTCATATTATCATGGTAGTTTCGCAAAAACCGAAAATGGCTTTCGCAAAAACCGAAAATGGCATGGCGGTTCTCCGTAAGAACCACTAAATGGTTTCGCATTAAAAAACTCCAAACTCTAAAACAATATGTTGGCTTGATGGTTTTCAAAGTTTCAACACGCCCAGCAATGGATTTATATTCAAGGTTTGACAGAAGGGATTCATACCCTAAGTTGACGTTAGATGTAGACGAGGGATATATGAACAAAAAACCCAGAACACATAGGAATTGGCTTGATATATAGTTACGGTTATGCTAACAGTTAACATTTCTATTTCATGTATTCGCAAAGCACCAACTAGTTTTTAAGAATCAAGAATGATGACAAGCAATTGAACCAACTGAATCCAGATGAAAAAGTAAGATTACCATGGACTGGATATTTGAGGAATTAAGATTTTGTTGTCAGGTTGCTAATGTAAGACAAAATTGGTAACAATCTGAAACAATATTCTTTTCTTTTTGTTATAGAACTATATGAAATAGTCATATATCGCAAACTAATACGCTTTGAAGTTTGGTGCTTATCTATTTTCTGAAGGCTTATTAACATGCTTATAGAAATTGGTTTTGATTAATAGCTGATAGAATCATGCGAAATTCTGGTAACCTTACTCGTAAAGATGAGGGAAGGGGGAATACATGCTTTGCACCACGAAGTATGGGAAAGTTGGGGAGTTTTACAAACTTCTACATGTGAAACTAATTGATCTTCTGCGGATTAGAGGAGTTGATTCCCAACCAAGAAGAAGGCATGTTCATAGTTTCTTTATGCATTAAAACTTCACATCAGTATACCTCCATTTCTACTAACATATCTGGAATAGAGAATTAAAATGACCTGGTATCAACATAGTTTCAGTTCTCTTGCTCAGCATGGAAAAATAATTTGAGACTTAAAGCTATTGAGTATAAACTGCATATAACTATGTTTTATCAAACTTGAAATTCCTCTTGAACTAAAATTTAGAGGTTTTACATAACCAATCACTGGAGGATGTAGCATAATAGTTTTCTAGTATATCATACAATGTAACCATCAACCAAACTATAATATTTAGAACATGAAACTTGGAAAAGTGCAGGAAGAAACCAGAAAGAATAGCATATATGAATTACCTTGACAGGAAATGTGCCTTGAGGTAGCTTCGCTGCCAAAAGCTCTCTGAGCCTTCTCATAGCCTTGACTTTATTTACCAAAACATCAAGCAACGGAAGAAGCTCGTCTATTTTCAAAGGGAAGTCAGGGGTTAACCACAAAACGGGTGTCACCCCTATGTTCAGGCCATCGCCTTTATCCTTATCAGAATCGTCCATGACTCCATTCTTCTTCTTCTTCTTCTCGGAGTTTTTCCCCTTATGTTTCTTACCATCTATCAGGTCCTCCTTACCCTTTTTAGATTTAACATTCCCATTGTGCTTCTCTCCAATAGCCTTTGATGCCTTTTTATTATTACCACCAGACCAACTCTTCTTCTCCTTGGAACTATCCTCCCCATTGTCAAAGTCTTCATAGTTGCCCTCCAATCCCATCTTAAGAGCAGCCTCAAACTGCTTTCTCTCCTCCATCGTCATCACATCATCCAACCCATCTTCTTTATGATCCACAGATAACTCCTCATGGGCCACTTTAATGGGAACCGTCCTAGCCTTCATATTCACCGTCACATTACGCATATCATACATTTTTCCCTTCCAACTTCCAATCATCTCAGTCCTCTCTTGTCTTCTCCAATTCAAGTGAGGAACTAATTCAGCCTCTTGAACATCAATCTTGCCTGTTGAAATATACTGAGACATTACAGCAACCTTACGAGCATTCTCCTCAACTACTACTGGTTTAATTCCTCGAGCTGTTGGTCCTTTCAAAGCAATACTAATCTCCTTCTTTTTATGTTCAAGAACAACCAGTGAGCCTGGAAGCACTTCGGATCCTTTCCCTTTCCCTAGAAAGAGAAATGATTGATCGGTTCTCTTGATTCGAAACCCATCATACCCGGCAAAAGTCATATCTAACCTTATATTCGAACCCCGTTTCCAAATACGATAAGTATCAGAGGGGAAAATCCTTCCTACAAATGGTATCACTGAACTCTCGAAATGAAATGTAATCTCCATGTAAAAATCCCTAATTCTAGAAATTGATGCTACAATTCTAGGAAATCTACGACACAATTTGGCCTGAGAAAGAGGATCAGAATGGCATTTGATTATCATCGCTATCGCCCACTGGCTTTGGCATTCTGACGAAACCCGCTGGCACCAGCAGACATCAAGATCTCGACCGATGTCGGGTCGCGGAGGCGGACGGCGAGGTGGAGGGGTGTTTCGCGTTTGGGGACATCACGACGGTCGATGACGGCAGAGACCGCTTCGGCAGCGCGTTCGCTGGCAATGGATTCTTCCTCCGTGGTGACCTCCTCTGCTTCTGGGAGACGGGGGAGGGTCAAGATGAGTCGGCGGAGGGCCACATGGTCACGTCGGGCCACAGCGAGATGGGCTGGACTGTGCGCATATTTTGATACATCCTCCTCCATTTCAAAAATGGTTGCATCTTTGCCAAGATTATGAGTGTTCTATGGCCTCGCTGTTAGGGGAGAGCGATCTCCCAAAAAGATAGGCTAGATTCACTCACGTCAATTCAAAGTTTGTACTCTCTGTATTTTTAGACGAAATCTCTCTATAATCTTGCTATATATAGCAAAGTCTTTACCATACATGACACATTGTATACAAATTTCTTATTTCCTGCTTACCAAATTTTAAGCATGGCAAGAGAATCAACAAGGGTCTACTTTAGAGTCAACAATAGAAATGGCAGTTAGTAATAGTCTAATAATAGCATCCCGTGAGCTAAATTTTGAAAATTTTCAACAATTTGTTATGTATGAAATTTAATTAGAAATATCAGAATTATGAAGAGAATGTTCCTATGTCATGCTCACATTACATGAATGATAACAATGACATTATTATTTCAACTGAGCTTATTTTTAGTGGCTGGAGTCATACTTTTTGAATGGGTGATAGATTCGCTTAAGCCCTCCGAACTTCGGGGTTTTTTTCACATAACATCTTCCTAAACTTTGTCTATCTCACGTAGCTCACTCTACTTTTAGAGTGTTTCACAAAACTCCCTTAAAACTTCAACCATTTTGTACCATACCTCCTAGATGTAATTTGCAAATAACTAAGATGTCATTAAGAGGAAAAAATTCTAGTTTTTTCACTTTTTATTTTCAAACAACATACCCCCTCCCCTAAATTCTGAATTTTTTTCTTACAATAAAATTTTATTTTATTACATATTACATGTAGGTGGGATTGGTGGGAAATGTTCAAATTTCGTGGGGGGTGGGGGGGGCTTAGTGAGACACTCCATAGTTTATGTGTTTATGTGAGATACTCACTTAAGGGCTTGTTTGGATTGAGGGGAATGAGGGTGAAGGGAAGTTAGGGGAACCATTCACCTTGTTTGGGAAACACTGGCCTTGTTTGGATTGAGGGGAATGAGGGTGAAGGGAAGTTAGGGGAACCATTCACCTCCATTTACCTTGTTTGGGAACACTTAGAAGGTGGAGTTAATTCACCCTAGTTCCCCTTGGTTCACCCCCTAATACTATAAAATTTGTTACCCCCAAATTGGGGTGTAACCAAGGGGAAGGGAACTCCCTTCCCTTCCCTTCCCTTCCATTCTCTCAGTTTCCCTTAACTTCCCTTCAACCCCTACAAATCCAAACAGGCCCTTAGGAGGTGAAGTTAATTCACCCTAGTTCAACTTGGTTCACCCCCTAATAGTATAAAAATTGTTACCCCCCAAATTGGGCTTGTTTGGATTGAGGGGAATGAGGGTGAAGGGAAGTTAGGGGAACCATTCACCTTCATTCACCTTGTTTGGGAACACTTAGGAGGTGAAGTTAATTCACCTCAATTCACCTTGGTTCACCCCCCTAATAGTATAAAAATTGTTACCCCCCAAATTGGTCCCTTCCCTTCCCTTCCCTTCCCTTCACTCAGTTTCCCTTAACTTCTCTTCACCCCCTACGAATCCAAACAGGCCAAAGGGGAAGGGAATTCCCTTCCCTTCCCTTCACTTAGTTTCCCTTAACTTTTCTTCACCCCCTACAAATCCAAACAAGCTCAGGGTTTATTTTATTACAGATTACATGTAGGTGGGATTGGTGGGAAATGTTCAAATTTCGTGGGGGGTGGGGGGGGCTTAGTGAGACACTCCATAGTTTATGTGTTTATGTGAGATAGTCACTCAAGGGTTGCGAAAAACCCCAAAACTCAGGGGGTTTTGTCAAATTAACCCTTTTTAAAACCGCGACTTACCTAAATTGTTTACAGCGGATCTCGTCGGATCCGACCCAACCCGTCGCCACGCGTACCAGAGAATCGAGACCCAATGGCAGAATCTTCGATTATCGCCGGCGGTAAATTCGATCGGATCTGAAACCCTCTCTCAAGATTGAGGTAATTAATCGAGTTCCGTAATTTCGTTCATAGATTGCTTTTTCCCCTTAATTTTCTGATTGATTGTTCACTTAGCATTTTGCCTAAATAAATCCCTGTATTCGAAATTAGGTTTGATTTAATTTCAGTCGCATATAACTATATTACGAAACTTAGTGATTACTTAGTAAATGGTAATTAATGCATTGTCAACTTTATGTTGATTATTACTATGATTAGATGAAAGATCGTACAAGAATGTAGATCTTTTTCCCCTTTAAGGGCCTGTTTGTTTACACGGAAGTAATTATAAATTAGCTGAAGTAAAAGAAGTAGAGGCTACTTCTACTACTTCCTTCCAAACAAAAAAATGTGTTTGATTCTCTGAAAAGCGTACTTCCAATACTTCCTTAAACGCTTATGTGGCGCCTACGTATTATACTTCCAAAATATTTTTCCAATCCTCAATACTCAGAAGTAGTTTGCATATTAATTAGGAAATACATAATTTTTTTATTAATATTTCCTGTATTAGTTACTTCTAACAACTTTTCATTGATAAAATTACTTCCTAGTAATATTTCTAAATGTTATCCAAACAAAAAAAAATAAATGAAGAGGAAGAAGTTCTACTTCCGTTACTTCTAAATATATGAAACAAAAAAAAAAATATTATTTTCACTACTTCCTACTTCATAGTTTTAAAATTTACTTCTATAACATACTTCTTACTTCCAATACTTTCATTATCCAAACGGACCCTAAAAGTACAAAACTGGAAGAACCACCGGCAACCATTAATTTATATTGGAGAATTTTTTAAAACAGACCCTTTTTGAAACTTTATTAGCAAAATAGGCCTATTTTTGACATAATTAGCAAAATCGACCTTTTTTGGCCAAAAAAAGGTCGATTTTGCAAAAATGAAACTTTAAAGTACACGGTCTGCCACTCCTGTGTATTTAGTGGTGCCTAATTACACCCTAATGAAATTTAATTAGTCTCATGGATTTGTGAAGTTTAATTAGCATGTGACTAGCCAACACTAATTACACGGGACTAGTAGTCCCGTGTATTTTAAAAATTATATTTTGCAAAATCGACCAAAGAGGTTAATTTTGCTAATTAAACCCAAAATATGTTGATTTTGCTAATAAAGTTTCAAAAATGGTCTTTTTAAAAAAAAAATCCTTTATATTTTTGTATATTGATGGGAAAAATCAAAATTTAGCTCACGTTATACTATTTTTAAACTATTGCAGTATTGATTATTGTCGTTTCTTTTGTTGACTCTAATATAGACCCTTGTTGATTGTCTTGCCATGCTTATTTTCTTGACAAAGTAGAATTAAGAAACTCGGCAGTCTACTATAGCATTCCTGGTTGTTCTTTTGATAATTAGTGAATATACGATCATTTTTGGTTAATGGGTAGTTCAGTATGTGTTTCCTAAGAATAATCCTTGGGAGAAGTATTTCACAAAAATATAAGTATGATACAAACCCATAATGCATTTGGATTATTGGTGATAGTGATAATTCTCTTTGGTTACAACTTCATGGTGGTCAGCAAAAGTTGCCAATTCAGTAGTTACATTTTTTATTCCTTGAGTTAAACTTTGAAAGGTGTAGTAATTGGTTTCCTTTTTCTAGGGTTTGCAGCTTCAACACCTGTCCCCTTCATGTAGACAATATATAACTTATGATTTGGACGCCAAATTATTAATTTCATGAAAGTTGGATAACACATCACTTAGTGCAGCCTAGTTATTCTTATGTACAACTTTATTTCATACAGGCACTTCAGGCTAACAACTATGCTTGATACATTAACAGACTGCGGTGATTATTTCAGGCTATAAAGTAGAGTGGTCTCTCTTTCAAGCTCTCATTCAATGGTCAAAGCCTTCGTGAAAAAGACGTATCTCTGATCCTCACCGACCAGTTACTTCGATCTTCATGCCTGAAGAGCAATGACCAGGAATGCTGCACAAGAAATAGTTTGCCCCTTTCTTCAAAGTGAACTTGTCATTGCCACTGGTTGATGCTTTTCCAGTTGCCTTGCAACTTCCATACTCTGAAGCAGTAACAGGTACCACGTTATGAACACCGGATTGGTAGTTAAAAACTGCAACATTTACGAGAGGAAAGGAAAAGGCTTACTGCATAAATATTATAAAATTACCAATTTGACATAAACCAGTTTATGTTTTTATGGCACACTCGTTAGAAAAGCATGCATGGTTAATTTGTATCACTCATTTTTTGTGTGATCAAGAGCAAGTTGGCATAGAATTGGTCAAGTGTTAGGTATTTTTGAAAAGAAATGGGCGAATCTCTGAGACACTGAAAAATATTGACAAATAAAAACTAAAAAGTTGAGAAAGAGACCAAGGGTGTCTCCAGCAGTAAAAGGCTTTCCATTGGCCCAGTCCTTGTAGGAGGCTGAGAAACCCCAACCTTGCGAATCTCCAACAATATAGGTGGCAGCAAAACTGCATGATGGAGAACATACAATAACCAAGATGGCTAAAACTGCAACCTCAGTCATGCAGCTGCCTCTTCCCTGGTCCATAGCACACTTCTTGATTGAGTTTGCTATCTACTATGATTTCTGATAAGAGTTGGAGATTAAGCTTGAGATGGGAAACTTCATCTCAGGATTGCTGTATTTATAAAGACTATGAGAAGAGTGGGCCGATATATCATTATTGGCTTGTTATTGTTTCTTTTCTTCTTGATATTGTGCTTTCTTTTCTATAGGTTGTGGAGAACATATGCTCAATAAGGGCTTCTATTCTCAAGTTTTGACTCCTTTATTTGGTTAAGATACTTTGTCTAGTTTACAGTTTTCTTAAAATTGCTTCATAAAGTGTGCCTAATCTTTTTTGTTTTTAGCTCCCTTCTTTTTTTTCTCTTGCTTTTTGGCCTTTACTCTATAGGCTAATCTCACTTGTTAATTTTAAGTATTTCAAATTATCTTCCTAACTTTATTTTTATTACACCTTAGAAAGAAAGTGGGAAAAGCAAAGAAGAAGAAAAACATTACTTCCCTTCTTTAAGCTAACATGTTAATTTCCATAAAAGTGCTAGTGCTTTCTGACGAACACTGCACTTAAGTTTAGTGCAATCTACTTCATACCCACCATATTGCAAACAATTGTTCAATAGGATTTACATGCTTGCAGTATTTGATTATATAATCGCATTGGATCTTTACGTATGTTAGTGTTCATGGTTAGGTTTCATTGCATACGCAATAACTTTTGACATAAACAATCTTACATGAGATTTGTCCAACTCTGGAGATAAGATTTACTTTGCATTTGATTAAGCACTGAAGCATTCTAATTTACCTATTAGCTAGTACATTGGGACTATTTGCCACCAGGAAGAATACGCCATGACTATTTGAAGTTGCAAACTACATATGCATTTAAAAAACCCTTTACTCTCCTGTCTACCTATGTTGCAAGGGTATGGGTACGGCTACCAGTACCGTTACTGTTAGGGGACACAACGAATTTGTAAAAGGTAGGGTAATGGGGACATGACTATATAAATATTTATACATTAGAATTAATAATTTATATGAGAACAAGGATGAGAATTGAAATTCCTATGACATTTTTATGTTTCTTTATTATGTGGATGTTTTATAGGAAATTATGTGGATTATAAAATAGAAAATCACTAGTTTTTGAACTAGAAATCCAAACACCTCTTCAAAATCATGATTCGGAACTTGACCTATGTCCAACGAGTTTAAAGAAGTGGATGTGAAGTCTAGGATATTTTTCTAAAAAACGTATGACAAGTGTTTTAAATTAAAACATGTATGTTGTATAATTAAGTACATGCCCGAATATATGTATGCATAAATGCAATGAGTTCCAAGGAGTTTTGATACGGGTGCGGGTACGTGTGGGGTACACGCACGACTTCAAATTAAAAGAGGCTAGATAATGTAGGTGGCTGCAATTTGATCAGTAGACAATAGACCCAATCTCTAGCCAAACAGCCTGGATCAAATGATCAACATGCTAGTTTAGGTATTCTGAACAAGAACTACGCCCTGGATTCCACTTTAAAAAAAATTCATTGATATTAGATCAAATTATCACTTAGACCTGGTTTATAGCACCAGAATCCAAATAAAAGCCCCCAACACATCTGGCATGTGCAGGTTGAGGTTCGTGTGTATTCTTGAATTTTTTTCCCTACTTAGAGGAGACAAATCATAATTTAATGTGAAAAGAATTGTCTTATGATGGTGATTATGTTATCTTATTCTTAGTATAGCTTATGTGATCAAGTTGGCACAAACATTACTGAATTGAGGCACATTACCAGCTAGGTTTTCTTTCTAGTCAATTATGTATTACTTTACTGAGAAGTGATAGGGCAAAGGACAGCACATATTTGTATGCATTTGAACTATTATAAATCATTAGGGAAACATTACTCATTTTACATATAAACATCTATGAATTTCCATGACAAAAGAACAAAACCAACAAACTACGTCATAAAATTATGTTCAATTCCGGAGTAACTTCCTGTTGAATTGCAGTTTTGCTTTAAGGCTATGCAGGTTATTGGCTGCAGCTTCATTCTTTCTTAAATGATAAGCTTCTCTCAATGAGCTAACTGTTGGCTTTTTTCTAATTGTAATGGTTCTTCTTGAAGACATGTCAAAACAGTCTGCAAGGTATTATAAAATGCATAAGAACTTGATTGATCCACAATTATTTCAAATCTCCTTCAGTCAAAATCCTATTGTTGCTAATGCAATTACATCTCATACATCAACTTTTGCATATGACTCAAACATTGTACATTCTCCTCACAAGTCAAACATTATCCGCATCCTAACTATATTTTCTGCCCATCAATACTACTGTTCTGTGCAAAATGACCTGGATCTTGATCACAGCTGATCCATTCTGAAGAATTTGTGATGATCTCCTTTATACTGAATCTGGAGAATCTTCGAGAATTTCATGGAAACCCATTTGTGGGTTACTTGGACATCATTCGAACTTCTAATCAACAACTCTGCCTCTCAACACTACAGGGGAAACCTCAGTATCTCCCTCAGTCAGCTGGCACAGCTCAGTGTTCCTCAGAAACCCCTTATATTATGTACATTGCTGAGAGGGTAATTTCCTCCTCATCCATCTGATTCCATGTCTCGGAATGGCAGTGGTACTGTCTTCACTGCCCTGAACTTGCCGACATTATTCAGGTGCTCATTCTCCAACCTTTCAACCAGATATTGAGTCAATATCAAGTAAGCATTTTACTCTCTCAATCGCAGTAGCGTAAAGTAAGAGAAATTACCTGTAAAAGTTCCAGTGCCCCCGTCGAATTATCTCCAATGAGGCAAGCAGGAAGTCTACCAACTGACCCTCAAGGGGACCTAGGCTTAGGCGGGAAATGGTTTCTATCCATCCAAGGCGAAGAACAAAATTGAGAACCTGCATTTCATCAGAAAATGTCTCATTTGAGATAAAAACATGTTCCAGGAAGTGTTGGAATAATTGGCCTTGTGTGTAACTTACAATAGATGCATAGTAAATGTTTTTATTCTTTAGAATGAGCTCATCTCTAAGCCATTGATTTTTGGAGTTCAGGTTGAAGAGCCCCCAGTCCTTGACAAAATCCCAGTACAATTGGTACAAGGTTGCCATAGTGGATATAAAGATGACAGTTGCTAACCAAAATGGTGAAGGATCCACAGCGTACTTCCATCTGGCTGCAGCTGCCAGCATGGCAGACACATACTTCCCACCATTCGCCAGGTGATTGGCATCATATCCCTCCTCTATGTATCTTCTGATACACTGGTACAATCATCAAAATGTTAGTATGTTTTCATGTTCAAGTGTGCATATTCATGTTGACATAGTTGTTTTGTGCATTAATCTGTGCATTTATACGTACAACTAAAAGTCTGGCATCATAACTAAAAACTAGAAAAACAGTAGAATAAGATATGATGGAAAATTTAGGCTTGCAAAAAGTGTGCTCAAGCATTGAAGGTGTGACAGAAAACCAAAAATGACCACTGGCAACTTGCAATTGCAATTTTAGAGAAATATGTGTATTGACCGAAAATTGTCGTCATATATTTAGTATTCTTGTGGATAACTTCCTTCAAGTTCATCAGGAAATATTTTATGTTGTCTGTGCCCCATAACCAAAGTGGAGACCAAGATTCACGAAAAAAATGCAACAAAAGAAGGCAAAAAATGCAAAAGAAAAGTTGCAGATTAGGAAACAAGGGCTGTGAAACTATTAGCAATAGTCTAAAAATATTTTGTGAGCTAAAAAGTTAAAATTTTCTACGAGCTAAGTGATATTCAGTTATGGCATGTGCGTAGTTACCCGCTTCTGAGGAAAAAATTTGAATTTGTAGGAATTTGATGAACAATTTTGCATGATAACATTAGAGAAACGAGAGAGGAGCTTTTTGCTAACTCAACCGCATACCTGCATTGCACGCCAGTAATAGGGAAGAAAGGAGATTATATAGGCCAAGAGCTTGTACTGCTGACTACGTGTGCAAGTTTCATATGGATCTGACTTCAACAAACTAGCTACAAAATAGCATGATGTAAACTCCATATGTCGCAATAAAGGTATCTGCGTTCACACAATCAAAAAGACTTCCAGTAAATGAAACAAAATAGTTTGTAATTGACATTTAGAAAAAATTAGACAAGGGTTTACCTGACTTGTAAGCTGATCTGCCATGAAGAAATCTACCATCAACACCTAGAAAGCATCAGCGAAACACTTGGTCAGCACTTCAGAATTGATAAAAGTGGGATCATTACAAAAGTCAAGTAAGTATGTATTACTTTGTAGAATGGAGAGAATATGATGTTACGCAACACTCGTAGGAAACAGTAGCGGGTAGGGCGGTAGAGGACATTGAATGGGCATATGAGGATTGCTATGAATAGCTGAAACATGAAGAACAATAATTAGATGCAATGAGTTCTTGTTGAAGAGTATAACAGGAATAGTTGATAACCAAATGGAACCTTTTTCAAGGTGACACTCAGAGGAGTCAAATTATAGGGGTAAGTTAATTTTCAAAAAACTCCCTGAACTTTGAAAGTTAGAGAAGACCCCTGAGATATTGAAAATTGTCATAGCTGGCGCCAACATGAAGGTTAACAGTCTATGCTACCCTTATTAATATACTTTGATCCTATCATAAGGGATAAATTTGTCCAAAGCAGGCTTCAACAACTTAAAACTTCAGGGGATTTTGTGAAATTTACTCTACATTATAGTACCTCCTAATAGACATCAACGGTTCAATCGGATACGGGTTTAGTGCTAGATTTGAGTCATTACTGAGCTAATAACAACTCATGCCTGAATATCATATGATAAAAAATATAGATAGAAATTAAGCACGTTGATATTATGCACGTCATGAACTAGGATATCAGAACTAGGATATCATTCTTAACACTTGACAGACTGCCTATAATTTTTGTTGCTCTTTTATCTGCTTTGCTTATGCATTTCTGAAAAGAACTCAAATCCTTAAGATGTTGCAGGATTTGGGATTACCAGCAAGAGAATGCCTGGAAGGGCATCAACATGACCTGCAGAAAACCCTGCAGATTTAAGAACGAGTTGAACAACCATGGCTCCGACAACAGTAGTCATGAAAGCGGTACATATGAGAAAAGCATCCCTGTGCTTTAAAGCTGTGCTTGGCGAGAACTCAAATATGAAGTTGTGGTTGATTCTGGTATTCTTCCACATGAACAGGTTGCATCCATATAAGAATATGTGAAGGCTTAGAAGAGCAAACATGCTGCACGAAATTAGAAAACACCAAGGATCAAGACTTTACTACTCTTAAGGTGAGTGTTCAAACTTTCTCTTGTGCTTAAGGTTAATGTTCAAACTTTCACTTGTGGTGAAGGTATTCTTACAACCCCAAAGTTTATTTCAGTATTCTTTGGAGAGGGAAAAAAAGGAATTGAGTGACAAATTTTAAATGCATAATAATCTCTGCTTATATGAGAAATGCATAAAGTGGTGCATAATATTCTCAAGTAGAATAGACCTTTATACCATGTGGGTATGTGTATATATGTAGGATGTTGATTTGTTCCAATACATAAAATTTCTATTTTTAGTTAAAGGAAATTTTTTTCTTTTTCTTTTTCTTTTTTTTTTTGGGGGGGGGGGGGTGNGAAGGTAGTTAAAGAACTTATTAGTTTAAATGGAAAAAAAAAGAAATCCCTAGTATAAGATAGTTGTTAATTTAAATAAGGGTAAATTGACAAAATTATCATGACTTTGAATCATTTTGCACAAAACCTCCTCAAACTACAACTACTCAAAATTGTCAGTTATGGTGTTAATGTTAGGGGTGGAAGGCCTAGAACATCACTGAAAATAGAAGAGGAGAAGAGCATAATATTACCGGATATATTAAGTACATAGACAGAACATGTCACTTGCTAAGTAGGTGACGACTTGAACTACTTGCTGTTAGTCATGGTATTTTAGTGAAAAAGTTCATGGTAGTTTCACTAATTTAGAGCATCTCCAACCCAAAAACCCAAAATGGTATAGTTTTTACATCAAGTTTGTGTAGTTTTTACACCAAATTACTATTCCATCTCCAACTCATTACACCAAATTTTACACCAAAAAGAATATTTCTTTTATTATTTTTATCTTTTAACATTTTTATCTATTTAAAATATTTAACAAATTATATAATTATATAATACATTACATATAATTAATAATAATAATGTGTAAGTTTTTTATGTCCTAATTTAATGTTGTATTTTTTTTATCTAAATGTAAATTTGATTTATATTTTAATTTAGTATTACGAAATTTTTAGTGTTTGAATTAAATTATTTATTTTTTCTTTTTGAATTTTATTTTAATAATTATTTTATACTATAATCTCATTATAAAAGTTAAAAATAAAAAAATTAAATGGAATAAACTGAGGTTAATGAATGATATAATAGGATACAGTAGGTATTTTTAATTTGTTATCACATAGTTTAAGGGTAAAATTGGAAAAATAAAAAAACTCAAAAGCTACAGTGTTGCTCCATTCCTGGTGCAACACTGTAGCACTTCATCAAAATAGCACAGGGTTTAGCGCTCGGTTGGAGGGTGAATTGGCATTAGGTTGCGTCAACTTGGGAAAATAGCGCAGGGTTGGAGATGCTCTTAATAGTTCAGCGAGATTTTCGACAAGACCCCCAAAAGTTCATGGCAGTTTTGTGAAGTTTATACTTCTTTCAGTATGTGATAGGCTGTATATCATGGTTATGACCTCTTAGTTCTTTTTTCTCTTTAGGTTAATATTGGTGGTCCCTCCTATAAACTCACCTAGTTCATGGTAAATAGAGAGATGTACCATCTTTTGTTGGTATTTACGCATCTAAAAGTAACACAAATCGCTATCATTGGTATACCCTTCCACTCCAGGCTTTTTTCTTTCTAAACAGGTTCGGACTCTCGTACGGAAAGAGGGTGACCCCCATTAGATGAGCCTCTAGGCATTTTCCTTAACATGACCCCTTTTCATGTTTGAGTTAAACTTCTATTGCTTAAGTTTTTAAACGGTCTTAGTGCAATTTCCTTTTTTTGAAAAGCTATGTTAATGGGAAAAGGAGGCTAATGAAAGTAAGGATCTCAGTGGATTTTCTTTTATTTATAAGTGATGGTGATGGCAAAGGAGTCCCAGCTAAGAAAAAGGACAGCTCAGTATGTATAGACCTGAATGCTTAGTGGGTTGTCAAACACTTATATGAAGCTGGAGAATGACAATTTAAACAAGCAACCTATCATAGTGAGTTTGTTAGCATTAAAACCAGCTCAGGGGCTGGGTAACTTTAGAATTATGACAAATGTTCCCTTTCTTTCATGAATTTATGTGCTAATGACAATGCAGTATAAGCAAACACCACAAGCAAAAGGGAGAATTGCAGTTTCAGGAAAGGACTTGGGTATTCTTGCCACGTGTGTTAGGTTTATGGAGTCCATAGAGTTACTTAGTGATGGTTCAAACAATACTATGTGGTTGTTTGGTTTGTTGCATTGTAGGACATTTTGGACCAATTGCAGTTGTTTGTTGTTGTAACTATATTTATACCTGCTGACTTACTTGAGATCGGGTGCAAGTCGCAGTTTCAGCCATTTTGAGTTGTAAATAGGTTTTAAGTTGCAATTCTAATTGGAACAAGACTCCAACATAAAAAAAAAAAATCTGATATCCCAAAACAAACACCTCTTACTAGATCTACAAATTGCACACTGTAAATTGAACCGAACCAAATAAATGCAACTAGAACTGCATACCACGCCAATTGCATATAATTGACACTTACAGTTGTAGCGTAGAATCCCTATGTCTTTCTATTTCCTGTTTTATATAGCAGTTGGAATACTCAATAATTTCTTTAACAGCTTGGAATAGTTACAAGTAATTGTACCTGAAAACAGGGTAAACAGTTTCCATGTAACCAATTTGTTTTGAGGTAGAAAAGATGCCACACAAATGCGCCAAGACTGCATATACACTAAACAGAGCTATAAAGCTACCCGTGAACAGACCTGCAACAGAAAGAAGTAGATTAGTATACAAGGGGAAAAAAGGGAAATTTGAATGTCGAGGAAGGGTTCTCTAATGAAAATAAGAGAGAAAATAAATAGAAAATGCTTTTCAATGATTCTATGATATGTAAAATGCACTTTTGTTAAAATAATAGGCAAGGTTCATATATTCTTAGAATAAAGGCTCCCATAAGGGAAAATTAACTCCTTGGAATGGGAGTGTCCTACAAGAGAAGAAAGTATAATGCTATCTCAATTGAACTCATTTGAACTCATTTTCTTAATTTTTATGAAAATCATTGTATAGGCAGGGACAATGTTAATTTCATAGTTCCAGCTAAGTTTTATGTTGGCTTTCAACTCTCTATGCGACCTTTCTCTTTTATCTGAGTTTAGGACATAAAGAGGAAGGATATGTGCTAAGCTTTGCCACTGATTGGAGGCAGTGTTCAACACCAAATCGTCTAAATTTACTTGTTACATGCTTTAAGGTTAAAGCATAAATGGTGTGTGTGGGAGGAGGTCCTTTACATAAAAGTTGATGATATAACTTATCTCAATCCAAATCTAAATTTGAGTTTTATACAAGTCGATCTCTATTCTTGTAGCTAGTAAGTGTCATCCCTATAATTAATCTAGCTAGCAGATTTCATCCAAAGATATCAACTATCAAAATTTGGACCTCGCATTGTAGCAATAAGAGACGTAGAGAAGTCTTTCCCACAAAAGATATGATGTCATCATTACCTGGATTTAAGAGAGATGATATCATTATTAGCTGGATTTGACATATAACTTCTGAGTTAGTCTGAATTTAAAATATATAGCATGAAAGACATGGTTCTCGTTCATAATAAAAGATAAGTGTTCAGTGTAATTAAGTAGTGTTTCTGAGTAACCAGTTAAATTAAGTAGTAACAATCCCTTATCTTGTTTTAGACCAGATATCATGCCGATAGCAAGTGATTAATTGGAATATGTGGGTTTCAACATGGATGATTCTTGGCACAATAATGGGTGGTAGTTGGGCTTCTGCATAGCAAGTGATTAATTGGAATATGCTGGTTTCAATGTGGATGATTCTTGGCACAATAATGGGAGGTAGTTGGGACCCACTCACCCACCTTGGTCAAGAGATCAAGATGTATGAAAATGGAAACATGTAAAAGAAAATCTTCATTTTTAAGAATAAATACTAAGAATCTTTTTGCAGATAACATCTCTCAACTAAAAAATATTCATACTAAGTATTTTATGGATAGACCAAGGCTACTTCCATGAAAACTTATATATTTCATATCGAGATGACTTTGAGAAGTTATTCGTATTCATCTTGGTCCACATCTATTCCTATTGCCTATATCATATTGGTTTTGGGCAATGGTTGTAGATGGAAGAATAACTAAATATTTGGTCATACCATTTTAATTAAGGTAAAGAAGCTCTCAAAAATATTTTTACTAAAGGGTATGTATTAACATACCTACAAAAAATGTGATCATGTGAGAATCCTTGGGTTGCTGGGGCCTTAGAAACTTCATTGCCTTTTTCCTGTCATTGCTTGCAAAGTGCTTTGTGAAGGTGCATTCCATCTCGTCGGCGAGTCTTACCACCTGAAATCATCACTTGCTTGTCAATTTATTTTGCCATAAATAGTAAAATATGTATAAATACTCATCTATGATGACTTGCTTATATTGTCTTATTAGCGAAACAGGAATCAAGTTTTCGACCATCTACTAAAACTAGGTAATTATATATATATAAGTGGACACCAAGTCTTTGTCCACCAAAGTCTATCCACTCATTTATATATATAAAAAGTCCCTTCATATCATGCAAGGATCCCTAGGCAATATGAGTGGATAGAAAATTTGGTGGATCATCCACTTAAGTTGACATAAGTCTCTCTCTATCTATCTATATATATATATATATATATTATATTATATTAATAAGAAAATGGGTCTAGTTTTAATTGTGATGCTTAAATGAAGCACAAAATTTACTCAATATAGAAACTGGAAGGTCTAAAGACTTGGCAGATAGAGTTGTCCCCCATGTGGGCCCAACCAATTATGTTTCTTGTTTTTCTAAGGTCCTCAGGTTGCCGTACCTAGCAAGAGGGGATAGTGAAAGTTTGTTTTGGATTCTTCATGTTTCTCTTTATCTTTATTATGTTTATGATCTCATCATTACACTAATAACAATCTGTGATCTTTAACGATATAAGTATATAAAGTTTTTCTTTGTTTATGTGCATTGTATTTGTGACCTTTCTATCAGAATCGAACATGCTCTCCTTCTAGCTAGGTGATTGATCTACTAGACAGTTATACCTTAGTTCTTAGAAGTGCAATATAAAGAAACAGAATAGATGCCAAAATGGCGTTATGTATACCTTGTCAGAACTGATGAAGTGTGATCTCTTCACCTTCTTTATGTAGGATCCAGAGTCCCGTTGGTTCGATACCTTCACATAACACAACCAGTTCATGAATTATTGTATGTCAATAGGAGTACAAACTTAACGATCGAATATATAGTTTTCGTCGCATATACTTAATATATGGTTTGAGCTGTTGAGGTGACGTGGAAAATTCTTTCATGAATAGTACATATTCTGATATGTTTAAATAGATGGATCATTTCTTACATCATCTCTACTTTCCCCCTTCTCTCTATACGTTCTTGTTTTTTCGGTTTGTCTATCATTTGTTGCTAACAAACACTGGACATTTTTTCATGTCTCTCATGTGAAAAGATTTGTAGCTTCATGAGCAAATGGGAACCTCTTGACTCTTTTTGGCTGCTGTCAAGTCTCAAACAGCAAGAAACAGCTGGGTCCCTTCAGATAAGTGCGACGTGGCACGTTACGGGATGGTTATTCTCTTGCTAATTACTTGTATTGTACTCAACTCCAAACTCGGGATTGTAATTTATCATTGTATTAATTGTTTTTAGTCCAATGCTAGTATTGCGTAGGTGTTGTTGAAAGGACTGTTTTGGTTTCTTTGTTTGCCTACCAGCTGTTTCAACTTTGATTTACCTAAATACCCTTCTATTATATGAAATTATCCTTATTTTTCTTTTGTTTTCCTTTTTAGAGAATTATTCCATGTGTTGGTGTTATTATAGGATTCAGATAAGTTCCCATGACCAAGTTGTAGGTATCTTGTGCTTCTTACATGGCCTTCATTGGTGCTTTTATTGGCCTTTATGATCACTCTAAAGTTTCAGATAAGGATTTTGTTGTTCCATATTCATCGTCTTCAGTTAGATCGATATCATTCATATATCATTTGTTTATTAATTTTCTATGCAAAATTGTAGTTGCCGTAAGTTTTCTTGAAGAATATCATGCGTTTTCTAGTTTTTACCTTGTGAAACTTTTTCATTATCTTCGTGAAGGCCATCATATTGAGTGTGCTGCCAAAGGAAAACAAGAGAATCGTAAATGAAAAACAAAGGTTAAAATAATCACTCAAACTGCGGAGCACCACTTTGTTCATGTCAAGGAATAATAGAAATTAACAATATGGAATCTTTCACGCTGCTTTTTTTTTGCATGCAAAGCAAAAATTGACAATTTAACCCCCGGAGAAAATGCAAATCTCGCAAACCTGTAAGTCTTCAGGAGATTCAACCCTTTGTAGAGCTCAAGAAACGCCGACCGTATCATTTTCTCGGCACATTGTATCTTCTTCCGGCTAATATAGTCTCCTCCGCCGCCACCGGCGGCCCCCTCCTTCCGTTGACTGTTGACGATATCCTCCCAAATCATCGACGTCACGGCCGATATCGTTTTTGTTGCGTTGGTCGCCGGGATGTCGATCCTCATCGTGGTTGTCTTCGGCTTCAGCCCTTTCTTCGCTTTCGTGCGTGCTGAGCCGACGAAGCTCACTCCGTTCCGTTCTAATGCTGCTATTATCTCCTCTGTAATAGGAGAGTTCGATCCATCCGTTGAGGCATCGTAACAGCTGTTCTCTGACAAACATATATAGTATACTTAGAAAGTATCAATATTTTCTGAATTTGTTTATTAAGAGTTATTAATTATCGCTCAATTTATATGCAATTTATTCTTTTCAAAATGTTACCCCGTAGGTATAAGTGCGCGCGAATAAATGGATGAGGAGATTATTCTTGTAAGAAGCGCAAAATATATAAGTAAATTGTACCGGAAAATGATGATGAGTTACTAAGGCGACCAAAGGCGTCGCTACTACTCCGAGAATCGTCGGTTAGTGATCGTTGTCGCCGTCGCTGTCGCCGTCGATGCTCATCTAGAATCTTCTTCAAGTCCACAAGGATCTGAAGTTGCTTATCTAAAATCTCAGCCCGCTCACAAAACTCCGTCTCTTTTGTAGTATAGAAGTCGTTCACTTTTCCGAGTTCATCATCCAGTTTCTCGAAAAATTCCTTCACCTATGTTATTAAATTTTCATAAAATCAGAAATTTTAACTAATTAAGATTGATAATAGAAAATTATTTGCAGGTATTACCTCAGCTTCTCTTGATTGAATTAGATCCATCTCGTACAAGTTTTCCTCGTCACCCTGAGCAGACCGAATACAAATAAATTACAAATTAATAAAATTGATCGCCAATAAGGGACAAGGTACAGGTTAGTTTAAACACTTTCCGCAAAATACGGGAGCGAAAAATTGCGGAAATTCGGGTAAATCAGGTCCGAGCTTTTAATCTCTTCTGCCGTTAATTATGACAAAAAATTACATCACGAAATTTCCATGATCAGGAAAACAAAACAAAGAAAACATTTTCAAGTTTAATACTCAATGTCTATAAAAATAAAACTAAAAAAAAATTTAAAAGAATGAAAATCAATATTTGACATTGAAATCGTGGCTTGGCGACTTACTGTACTATAAATGTAATAATACTTAATTACCTATATTATCCAAATTATATTTAACACAAATTTTAATGTTAAGTTAAAATGTCTATTGCAAAGCATGAGTGACCGTAAATTACAGTTTTGTTATTACTTCAAAGTACAATGTAGTTTTTTTTTTTTTTTTCCTTCACGTGATTACTATATGAAATCTTAACATAACAGATAAATAACATCATAACATCAAGTTCAGAAGATGTAATTACTAACAGAATAGCTTAGAGATATAATACGTATATATGGCGTGTACTCTTGCATCTACAATCTCTACCTCATTTGATTCGCCTCGACTGCCGCGACTAAGGAAGTTCCGGAGCGGGTCTAGTAAGGAGAACCCGACCCAGTGCGATCCATCTGAGGAAGGAGGAGACGAAGTAAGAAACAAGAGCTTTATTTTCTTAACATTCTTCTTAAGCTGCCTGTAATTCACGAATGCGTCCTTCCACTCTGGAATCAGCTGAGCATCAAGCTGCCTTGAAAACTTCACCATTTGATCAAACACTTTCTCTCTCTCTCTCTCTCTCTCTAACTGAAACTTCAAGTATTTTAGAGAGAGAGGAGGAAGGACCGTAAGAGTTGAGGGCAAAAGAGAGAAGGTTATATAGAGAGGTTGTGAGGAGATGGGCCAAACGTGTAAAACTAGAATTGTAGGAGGGGAAAGGGGCAAAGAGAAGTGAAGAATGGAGTGGCAAAGTGCTTTTTAGTGATTATTACCCCCAAAAAAATGCATTAAAGATTTGAAGTGGGTTTGCTTTTATTGAAACCAAAGTTGTGACGTATTGGTATTGGCTTGGTGGAGGAGGATGGTTTTTGTTAATGCGTCTTCTCTTTTTAGTAAAATTTCAGCAACTTGGGGAGAAAAAAGAGATTTGAAAGTGGAGGGAGATGTGGCGTGCTCAGGCTGGTTAGCTTCGTAAGTAAAACCAAAGAGTAAATTTCAGAAAACCCCCCTTAACTTCTTTTATTCCACTATACCTTTATGAGTTTTTCACTTCGATCCCCTAACAGAACTCGTCAAGTCTAATGTGTTAAAGTGCCAATTACATGATTTAGAAAAAAAAAAACAAAATTATGCCTTAGCCTTAAAAAAATCAACATTTCTAACTTTTTTATTATTTCCAAAATATTTTATTGATTAGAGGTCTTTTCTGTTAGTGGGAGAGATTGGGTCCAGCCGAGAGTTGATGGGCCTTCAATAGAAATTAGAAGTTAATTTTAATCTAAAAACTATAGGTATTGGGTACTGATCCCAACTACTGTTTTAAACAAATCACTCTTTCTTATCCTATCTAATGTGAAACTATACTCACGTATTAATAACCTTAACATCTTCCCCTTGATTTGTGAATATACTCATATTAACAACCTCAACATGTCCTCCTTAATTTTAGGGCTTCAAGGTCTGACTTAGAGTTGATAGGCCTTCAATAGAAGTTAGGAATCAATTTCATCCAAAAACCTACAGCTATTAGATATTGGCCCCAACTATTATTTTTAAACTCATTACTATTTCTAACCCTATCTACTGTGGGACTATACTCACATACCAGTAATCTCAACTACTCACCCTTAATTTGTGGGTATTCTCACATATTAATAACCTCAGCATTTTCCTCTTTTTCTGTCACATATTTGGCACATATATGTTAGACTTGATGGTATTACTTCATAGGGTTAACGTGAAAATATTTGAATCATTATTTCAGTTTGTTTGATACCCTTCTTAATGGTGAAAAGTCTAGACGGTTTGAGTGCAAAATACATTTGAAGCAAAAGTTTCAAAATGGCATACAGCAGTCCTAAATTAATGTAGATGTGGTAATTTATTTAATGAGACAAAGTGCCTACATGAGAGACGTCTATGTACGTTGGCTCTTATAAATGTAAATTTCACAAAGTATCTGTAATTTTATGTGTCTTTGGCGAACACAGATGATTTTTTTTTTAAATGGATTGAGCAAAAACTACCACACTGGCATTTCTTTGGAAATTAAAGCGTGGAGAGTTGTTCAATGTCAAAGGGTGAGAGTTTCTTATAAAGGAAAAATTGGGTAATGAGAATCCTATTTCAGTTATTTATGCATTGTTTTACGAGCAACATACATCATTGGTACGTCCATGATTTTTTTTTTTTTCTTTCTTTGTTTTTTTACAATAACAGAAACTTGGTTTGGGGAATTCTACATCTAAGGGTATTGTAAGACAATACCCTTAGATCGGCGGTATTTCTTAATTTCCTCTACAGGCTAGAAGAGAATGTAATAATCAACTAATTGAAAGGGTAATTAGTACATAGCTAATTAATCAAGGTTCCTCTTTGGGAGGCTTGTTGAGTAAATTATGATAAAAGTAAACTGAACGTGATCATTAGGATATCCTATCACACATTTTGTTATGTAACTAGTGAAAACGTAAGAGTTACTTGTTATGTATTCCTTCATGTAAATTATTACACAAAAAACTAAGTTGGTTATGTCCTCAAAACAACAATCTTTCCCCATTCAAGTATATAATCTAAGCTAATAATTACATGATGTTAACAATACCAAATAACAGTGCTAATAATGGTCTTCTTGCACCAAAAGAAACTCTCAGTACTTTTATGCCCAAATTTGCCCTTCTCATGAAATCTCATAATGATATCAAACGTTTAGAATTCTTTTGGCAATCAAACTTTGCATGCACAACGCACATTTTAAATGGTATCCTCAAGATGCACATGCTAAATATGATGAATTTTCTTTTTCTTTTTTAAATAATGTTAAATTTGATGGGAAATTGTGCTAATTAAATGTCTCACACTTTAAAATATTTCTTAACATCCAAAAATATGTTAGGCTTAGGAAGTAATGATTATGTTAGTATCTAAGAACATTTCTGATGATTTTAATTATCTGTAACCACTTAGTTTTTTGAGTCAGAGAGTGGTGTATAATAGCACTAGCACCCCACGACCAGTGTTGCAGTTACACTTGATATGTTTCTTTAATTTCTGATTTTTTTTTTTTAACTTCATAACTCCCAAACTTTGACTGCAGTGGACCTAAGGCGACTGGGTAAATTCCTCATCTTTAGTCCTATAATTTTGGTGTAAAATCTTGGATAAACTAGAAAATGTGTTAACTATCTAGATAGTTTTGTTTAAAAACATATTCCAAAATTCGACGAACTTCTTTATGGTTCTATTTAGATTAGATTTTGACATTTCATTGTCGGAGATATTCTAGCATGTATATATGCATTAATAGAGAACTTCTCGAGCAAGTTAACAAACTAAACCCAAGGAAACTAGATTCTTGTGTGCCTAAACTTAACCAACAATGAAGTAGATGTATGTTTGTTGTATGATATTTGCAATCAAATAAAATCCTAAATCCTTAGAGCTGGTAGAATTTAAGAAAGAGTTCAAGGATCTCTGGACGGATGCCCAACTCCATAGACTTGTCCTTTGGAGTATCGTTAGGATTTGGTGCAAAGGATATTGTAAGACAATGATATATACCCTAGTTAACCTCCTAGCCTTTCAAGGAGAATTAACATCTCTCATTAAGTGTGAATGATAGCATAATCTATATTTGAGTTTGATTGTTGAACTTATCTCCTCTAACAACATTGATAAATATGATGGATAGTTTAGCTGGCTCATTAATTAGAAAGAACATATGCATTTAATGAGCGTGTTTTCAGCTATAAGAGCCACACTGAGGAAGACGTTATACCCTAAAAATCACTAAGTTTAATGAGTCCTTAAAAGTTGGCCATGTGTCAAATTAACGGACCAAGTCGTATGACCAAAAGCTCGAACCCAGATATAAACACAGCCCGACCAACCAAGCCGACCTTTCTAGCAAACAAAGTCTGAGATGAAAGACATCTTTAAGTTGGAATCCATCAAAGAAGTCCGAGTCTGAGATGAAAGGATCTTTTGGTTGGACTCCAGTAGGAACATCCCAAATGACAGAATAAACTATCAGTCTCGTCAACGTTGTTCGCATTTAATACATGGCCAATCGGCGACCATGCTACACCGCCCAGTCGCCATCCTATTAAATGCATGGCTCGATGTCATAATAACTCCTCGGACTTCACCCGTACTTTCGCCATTTTTTTCTATTACTGTCAAGCCTCGGGCCTACGAGCTTATTGGCATGGTGTAAGTCTTGGGACTCAAGAGGGCAACATGTGGTTTGACTCAATCCACTGTCAAAATTGGCTAGCTAATGTTGCCCTTGTCTCTCATGACCCATCATTTAAACCCTCTTAAACTCTATCAATTTTTCCGATATGGGACAATTAGTGGGGCATCAACATCATCCTTACACACACACACACACATTTTTGGTTTTATCCACAAACAAAGTTTTTACAAATAAATTCCAAAATTTGTTTATATATGTTTATTTTCAATGTGGATAAGTAGTTTTGGTTTAGCTTCATAGATATGAAACAATAGTTATATTCATATACACATTCTTTTGTTTCATATTCTATTATATTTGGAAATATATTGTGTTTTTGGTTTATAGACTTAAGAACAATAGTTTATACCTTTTATCAATTCTATAAAGCCATACAAGAATTTTCAAAACTTTAGTTTATGTCAAAAAAAATTAAATTTCAAATATATCACATTTTCATATTTTGGACATTTTTGCAAAATCAAGATATTTTGCAAATAGGAAGTGAAAATTTAAAAATTCTTTTTGCAACATGTTTATTATCACATTTATAAGCATTCGCCAAAGTTTTATATTTTTCTAAATTTATTTGCTATTTTTAAAGGCATGTTAAAAATCAGCATTTCTGTTTTAAACCTGAGTATCTGAAATATACGTTCGCGATCGACCGGATTGGTCGCTGTGGTCGACCGCCTGAAGTCCTGAGACTTTGCTCTGTTCTTCAGCCTTTCGCGGTCGACCGGCCATGACGCTGCGGTCGCCAATATAGCCGTTGCATAGTAATGGCTAGTTTCCAGTTTTGTTTTCTTATGGATTTTTAGTCATTTTGTGTGTGTTTTAGCTGATGTTTTGGGTTGTTATAAATAGCCTATTGCATTTATCATTCCCATCTATCTAAGAGAATGTTTTAAACAAGTTTTACAAGGGTTTAAGTTTTTTTTAAAAGTGTTTAAAGTTTGTTTATAAGTTTGTGAAGAAATTTTCACAAGAGCTAGAGGAGATCATCCATTGGTGTTTGAGCATTCAACTCTTCTCCCTCTCTCTTGTCATCATAGAGAAGTTTTTCTAAACTCTATCTAGCTTTACATTTATATATTTGTTTATTTATCATTTTTTTATTAAAGCTAGATTTATAATTGAGTTAAGATTTGTTTTATTTATTAAATCTCATTGTTACATCCATCCACTTGAGTTTTTAGTAGTTTCATATATAGTATATTTAGGGTTGTGAGTTTGTAACATTGAGTTGAGCTTAATTAAGTTCTCACCTTGTTTAGAGAACAAATTTGTTGTAGAGCTTAATTGTGAGGTTTCACATTGTATTGCACAAATACACCAAGAGGAGTGTAGAGGTGAGAGACGTGACCGGTTCCAAAAGGAA